TATTGAAGGTCTGACATGTTGGTGTCCAACTTATAACACAATGTCTCTACTGGACAAACAAAATGTCTCGAATGTTTTTTATGCTTTGAGTCTTTTTCAGTTTTTTTTTTAAAGATGCACAAACCTTACATCATCACTTTCTTTTTTATTCTAGTCATGCAAATAAAAAAAACACTTTCAGTTTGCAGCAAAACTGCTCCAATAACAATCTGAGGCCAACCTTGACTCCCCAAACACAAATCTCTGCAGGTCATCAACAAAACAGTTTCTTCCTGCTTTTATGACTCGTGCATTAAAATCCTCTGTTTTATTCCACCTTAAACCTTCTTAACACTCATGAAGGCTGAGGCAGCAGCGCCGGGCGGACACTGCCACAAAGTGCAGACAGATAAACAAACAGCAAAGAGCTGTGGTATTTGCATTTAGATGAAAAAGGAATCATTTGTTGTTGCTTCAAACAGGCAGTTATTTAGCTATTAAGTCATTTAATTCTGTTGTATTTAATCAGGTCAGTTAATTCAGAGTTGCATGAATAACCTTAATTAGAAGAAGCTCATTTACAAACCAAAACAAGTCACATTGTCCACGCTGCAGGAAGGATCCACGGCATCGTTTCAAACCAAATGATTGGAAATTAAATGTTTAACATTTTCAGAGAAATAAATAATATAATGTAATAAATCTTCCAGACGTTGTTTCTGCTGCTCTGACCTTTTTAATTTACTGACAGAGACGAAGTCAGAGCTTCAGACTCCAAACTGAAATGTTTCTGTCAGGTTTTCCAGCGTTAATATTTACTGATTTCCTCAGACAGACTCTTCTTTTTATCCACTTTCATCAAACTTTAATTCATCATTTCCAGACTTTCATCTCAGTGTCGTCAGTTTCATCAGATTATTTGAATAAGTGCCTCCAGTGTCCAGACGGTTTCAGTCTGACCCCACATTTACCATGTGAAGCCTTTAAGCTGCTGAACTTTAAATTTCTGTGGTCAAAATTCAGACTTTTCTCTGTTTCTTTAGTCGTCGTAGCAAAAACATTCAGTTCATTCATGTCTGAGACGTTTAGTTTTTTATTTTAACTTTAAATCTTTTCCACGTGTCGACGTTTTTAGTTTGTTTATGACAGGCTTTAGCTTTTAGACAGGTTTTTGGTAGTCTTAGTTTTTAGCTAGTTTTTTCATAGTTTTAAGCTTATAGCTAGCTTTTTGGTAGATTTAGCTTTGAGCTAGCTTTTTTCATAGTTTTAGCTTTTAGCTAGCTTTTTGGTAGATTTAGCTNTAGCTAGCTTTTTGGTAGATTTAGCTTTGAGCTAGCTTTTTTCATAGTTTTAGCTTTTAGCTAGCTTTTTGGTAGATTTAGCTACCTTTTTGATTTTTGGTAGTTTTAGCTTTGAGCTAGATTTTTGATAGTTTTACCTAGCTTTTTCATTGTTTTAGCTATTTTGCTAGTTTTTAGTAGTTTTAGCTTTTAGCTATCTATTTCATAGTTTTAGCTTTTAGCTAGATTTTTGGTAGTTTTAGCTTTTAGCTAGCTTTTCTGTAGTTTTAGCTAGCTTTTTCCATTGTTTTAGCTTTTTTGTAATTTATTTTCATAGTTTTAGTTTTTATTTTAACTTTTTTGTTATGTTTTGTTTTTAACTAGCTTTTTGTTAGTTTTAGCTTTTAGTCAGACTTTTGCTGCTTTTAGGTTTTTGACAATGTTTTACCTACTTTTAGCTTTTAATTGGCTTTTTTCTACTTTTAGCTTTCACTTTGCATTTTTTAGCTCAGTTAGCATTTTGGTACTTACAGCAGGTAAAATAAGTATTGAACACGTCACCATTTTTCTCAGTAAATATATTACTAGAGGTGCTAATGACATGACATTTTCACCAGATGTTGGTAACAACCCAAGTGATCCATACATATAAATGTGAATTACAAACCCCTGTGTAATACTGGGAGAATATAGTCTGGTCAGATGAGACCAACATTGAACTGTTT